AAATCACGCCGGAGTGAATAGGAAGCGTTCAATCTTCAGGAATCGCAATTAGAGCGAGTTTGTTCGATAGACAGAACTTTGGATGGGCCTGGTGAAGCTGCTGGACGGTCATCAGCTCGGCACATGAAGACAGACTGGACTTCTCTAATACCGGTGTTAAAGACACTCCCTCACTGGGGAAGTAAAAAAAAAATGAACCTGACACATTATTAGGAACAAGACTGAGCATCTACAGCCAGGTCTGTGTGAGAACGAGGGAGGAGCAGCAAATGGGACGTTGAAAAACTAGCGTGCTACGCTGTTCTATGCCATTTAGCATGCTCCTCCATGTCTGAGTCCCAACACTCGTTATATGATTAATCTGTCATAGGTTTACTCAGGTGTATCAAAAGTCACAAGACAGCTCTTCTGTTCTTGGTCAGAGGCCAGAACAACTATCTTCACAGTGAAACATTAGCATGCTACGCTGACTATGGTAACATTTATCATGCTCATAACTGTCAGAGTTTTTAACAGTTATTATTTTTAACCATTTTTTTTAAGTTACTTCCTCTTAAGTTTTGTCACTTGGCCAAAGTCATACAACAGCTGTTATCAGAGCCTTCAGAGTGAAACATTATGCTGTGCTATGCTAAGCTACGCTATGCTGTTTTTAGCTGAACATAAACTGTATTCTAGACCGTTTGAATGTTTCTTTGAAGCCTTTGTCTGTAACTATCATTAATTCCGTCTTCTTTGGAAATGATACTCAATGAAATACTTGGAGGCAATCTGTTGTCTTTCACACAGTTAATAAAGCTGGACCGTCATTCCACAGAGGATATGGAAATGTGCTACGAGCTAATATTCTCCGCATGTTTAGGGCTTCGAGTAGGAAACTGTCGTTCAACTAGCAGGCGAGACTCCCACACAGGACTGGCGTTTCAGATGGAGAATTGATGAACCAAAGTTATTAATTTTCAATTTAGCCATTAATAAATGAATGATAAAGATATTTTTAAATAAACCGCTGGATGCTAGCTTTGAGACGCCGGTTTGTTTTCAAAGTCCTGATTGCTACACTGATCCCACAAACACACCCTCTGTCACAGAGGAGTCATTCCACACAACGTCTCGTCCTCATCACTCACATGATTCACGCCGCCGGGGTGGAATTGAGCTTTTATTGTCTTGGCTGATCAACTTGACAGACAGTAATTAAATGACTGACAGAAGATTTCCCAGCACAGTGCTCAGCCTCCGCTCATAAAACAATCAAGCATGTATGTCCACGGGAAGCTGGGGAAAAGAATTCATTACAGCAAATTAATTAGACTAAGAAGTCTCACTTCTAACTTCTTTGGACCAGCCTGTGGCCACTCCACCGCCTCGGCTTCACAGGTGTGTCGCTGCTCTGTGCCTCTCACAGCCCCGTCACACATGTTCTGCTCTGTGCACCCTCTCTCACCCTGTGATCGTGAACTTACTTTTCCTAAATCCCTGCCAGGTACTGACGCTTATTGGACTTTCTATCAAGCAGCGCCTCAGTCATGGAAGTGAAGGACTCCACTGGGTTTTTATAAATCTAGTTGAGAAGGTCATCGCGGCCAGCCAGCGGCTGCCCAGCCAATGAGTTTGGTGTCAGTCATGGAAGTGAAGGACTCCACTGGGTTTTTATAAATCTAGTTGAGAAGGTCATCGCGGTCAGCCAGCGGCTGCCAAGCCAATGATTTTGTTGACTACCGCAATTAAAGGTTACTCAAATAAACCCAAAAATGACCAGTTACAATAGAGCAAAATGAACGAGTTACTTGCTTAATTACTTTGTGAAATTGATCAGAATGGTGCACACTGTATATCTAAGAACCCTTATTTTATCTCTACTTATCTTTGTACATGTTGTTATCTATATGTAAGAACCTTTCACCAAAGTACCCAAAGCTGTTGTACATATTGTGCAGGCAGCCAGGGGGCGCAGATGAGTAGAACTGATTCAGACGTCAGAAGATTGACTTCACATCTATCAGAACAGACAGACAGACAGGCTTTCTGGAATAGCTATGGATACGATTTATGCCGTCACATATAAATTATCGCAATGGCAAAGAAATGCTCCCTGGTTTATTCAGGTCACACCAGGACATGGTGAGATGCCACAATGGTCACAGCATGTCAAAAAAAGTCATGCACATAAACAAGGAGACGGAGATCATAACTTTGCATCGACTCCCATTCATTCACATTGTTATTCTGACGTTAACCAGAGACTAAGACACCAGGTTTGACCTCATTAGGACCAGGTTTTGGGACCAAGTCTTCATAAGGGCGACAGCTCTGGAGAAGACCATTAACACTATAAAATTGCTCGCTTGCTGGACCAGTGTGCTGCAGTGTGAGTGTCCAGAATGTGAGGCCATGTGTTCGACTGTGCTGCTGAGAATAGCTGCAGCTGCTTCTTCTTTGTCTTAGTGAATACAATCTGGCTGAGACTGAGCAGCTGTAGGGTTAGGGTTAGAAGAAGAAGAAGAATGGCTGCGGCCGCAATAGATTTTTCAAAGAGCGTGATCTGACTGTCGTGACATTTAGGCTAACGCACATAGACAGCGAGTAAGCACAATGCTTCTCTGTATCAGCGGTGCAGAAAATCAGTGTTTGGGCAACAATGTACGGAAGTCACAACACAACAGTACTGACAGACAGTAAGTTAGAATGTTCTGTGGACTCTAGGACAGTAAATGGGACGTAATTATATTTGGAGATTGGAGTATCAGTACGCACACAGATATATATATATATATATACTGTATATATACATATTAATACATATGCGTGTACATATATACACAAAGCCTCTTTCTATAAAACTCAAATTTTTGAGATTGTTCCTACATCTGCTTCTTATCACTCCATGATGTGACCATGTCGTTCAATATTTACAAAGTGCAGCCATATCTAATTATCTTGGAGGGCTTGTCTTCATGCCATTTTTTCTCACTGAAAAATTACTGGAGTGACAGAGACACCTTCTGGTTAGTTTCTGCTACTGCAGCCAGGCAATTGGTGAAAGAAAAACAATGAATACGACAATAATAATAATAATAAAAATACACATATTCCGTCTGCGTAACTTAATGTGTTTCTTTTGTGGAAATATATTATCAGCAAATGGAGTGCAAATGTGTGATTGAAGACACAAACACTATTCACCAACAGTATTGTATTTCGAAGATTAGGTGAGGGGACCACTTTACAAAGATCAGACTAAGGGATCAGGGAGGGTGAGGCTGAAGATGGAGAAGTTAAAGAGAAAGAGATGATTTTGTTGTGCATTTCGACCGAGCTGGGCTTTATAAAGACGAGGTTGTGTGGGATAATAATAACCCACCAGGTGGAGAAGCTTGTTCATTAAGATCTCGATTCTCCAGAGGCGTTTGCTACAATCCTAAAGCCTCTAATTATTTTCTAATGTGCCTCAATTCAAAGATTCTTTATGAGTCACGCTGGCAAACCCTCGAGTAATCATTATTTAACCAACAGTTTCCTGCAGATTATTCAGAAAAACATCTTTACATCATTTGACAACCGTGTGCAACAAAACTTCAAGGAATTAAGAAAAATCATAGCAAATGCTGCAAGGCTTCATCTCAACAGCTACGTTTTAGTGCCATGATAACCTGATTGTGGAGACTCCGCCCTGCTTGTGACACCACACCATAGACCGTCAATAAGAAATGGACTTACCCACCAAGCTGCAGGTCCAACCCGTCTCTCCTTAAATCGTGGAAAGTCCTGAAATAAACATTATAATTCTTAAAAATAATAATAATAATAATAAATAATAATAATGTGAACATGGTTTATCATTTTATCAACAATGTGTCGTTTAACTTGTTGCTTTTCCAATCCTCAAATATGGACAATGAAATTGAACATTTTTAACAATGTTTTTTTCTCTCCAAGAAGTGAAAGAACATTTTAAAGGTGGGACAAATAAAGGACTCTTTATAATATACTGTAACACCAAGAGTTCTCCACAGGAACTGTTTGGAGAAGCATTTCAAACGGAAATGGAAAATACATAAAGTCAACTTATTTCTCATCAAAAAAAAAAAGTAATTTCTCTTTAAACGTTTGACTTACGCTTGGACATGGCGTCCAAGCAATTTACACTCCAGAAAGACAAGTGCACTTTGAATCCCCGTAGATGACATGGCTACGCTAACGTGATGGCTAAACGCAGTGCACTTGACCAGACATTGTTGGTGAAGTGGCGTCATTTCCCCATTCATTTCTGACTGGTCATGAATTGGGAAAGAACACTACGCCAACAATTGGTTGATGTAGTCATTGATGATGGAATGGCCAATCAGGACCAGGTTGGAGACAACATTAGTCAGAATAACAATTTAAAGCCATCAGGAGGTTTCTTTACATAAGCTGCACAGATTTTACAAAACTCTCTAGATTTATTCTACCACTAATAAAAAGTTCAGAGTCTTTCAGGGCAGCCATGTTTGTACTCCATCTTCAACGACACCTAATGTCTTATTAAACATCACAGTCACAGATTCAGAGGAGATAAGTTATTTTAGAAACATAGATGTATCTCAGCACAGTTTGTGACAAAATATTCATGAGATTAAACATTTCCATGTCTTTCAAAGCTGATGAAAAGCCCAGCGTGAGGTTTCACACTTTTGGACCCTGTTCCATATTTCAGTGAGACTACAAACTAACTCGATCAACACGGACTGACGTGAAGCGTGAAGCTCTAAAGTCTGTGGAACAGCTTAACTGTTCAGAGGTTTTGAAACACGTGAGTGCCGGATGTCAAAACAGCACATTTATCAAGCACAGGAAAAGATGTTTCCTTAATTTAATCTTAAGAGTAATTAAATATGCAACAGGGTCAGAAAAGAAAAATGTTACTGAGAAGAATTTTGAAGTAAGAAGCAGTGAAAGTGTTAAACAGTTCATTCACACAGTATTTAAAAAAAAAAAAAAAGAACAGAAACTTAGTGTAATTTTTTCTTTTTTACTGTTTTAACATTGTTTTTTTTACATTTGTTTCCCACAAATCTAAACAGACACACAGGGTCACTGTGATGACAAAAGCAAAGCTACATTATGTCAACGGTTCACACTGATGCGTTTTGAAAGGTCCTGTGTCTGTGATGACGGAGCTGAATAAAAAAGTCAGTGAGGACACAGTCGTCAGTGTCTTGTTTCTTTGCTCAGCTTTCATCTGCCTCCAGATTAATATTGTTACCAAACTTGGCGTAGAGCTGGACCTTCAGATCACTCAACACTTGCTGTATTGCTGACACTTGACCCTCAAGGCCTCTGACTTCCTGCTCCTTTGCTTCCTGGTTACAGAACATGCAAAACCCAATTATGAGAGAGACCAAGAGTTGACCACAGAAGATGAGGGACAACAGGATCAAAGGCATTTCAAATACACATACATACATATATACACAAACACATATTTGTATATGTATACTACATATATACATGTACATAAACAATCACTCATATATACACATATATGTATGTACACATTCACACATATATACATATACATTAACAGTCTTTAATAACAAGAACAGAGCAAAATAAAAGCTGCCTCAAGTGGCCAATGTGAAATCTTGCAGCGCTAAAAACATTTTGAATTTCAATCCACATTTGGTTTTTCATTAAAAACAGAAAATGTTCAAGTAAAGCAAAGATGATGCATTCACATTTATAGTTATTGAGCAAAAAGAAGCAAATGACACAACATATTCCACACGATTTTATAAAACAGTTCAGCGTAAACATCTGCAACTCACTTATAGAGAAAGTATTTTGTGATTTTGATTTGCAGTTTTGTGGAATGAATACACTGACATACACTGATCTTTGTGGTCTTTCACAGATTATTCAACCTCAACACTGATGATAAAAGCAGGGAAACTCACCTTCGCCGCCTCCAGCATCTCTTGCGTTTCTTCCTGGGTGTGACTGACAAAGACGTCACCAATTTGATAAGGGATCATTAACGCGTCGTCGTCCAACATCATCAGGTCATCGCTAGCGTCCTGCAAGTTCTGCAGTGATTTCTGTAGAGACGAGAGAGAAAACATGAACAAAAAAGTTATATTGTCCTAAACAATGTCACCAATCAAAGGTCAATACAAATTATAACAGCAAAAAACACTGTTGTGACAAACTACAAACCACTGCCACTCACTTTTTTAGCCTCTATTTCGCCTTTGAGTTCCGTCATCCGACTCGTGTTTCTTGCAAATTTATTGATCTTCTGCTGGTCTTCAAATGTGACGTTCACATCTTCAACTGCCTGCAAACCACAACACATTACCAGGGATGGAATAAAGAACTTGGTAAAAGCACAATATACAATTAACCTCTCTACTCAAGTTATAGAAAAATCACATCATTGCACTAAAGAACCTGGTTAAAACATACATTAACAAAGCAGCAAAGGTATATGAGCAAATACAGTAATTTGTAGAAAAATATACAGTATTGTGATGCAGGATCACATAAATAACATAACAGTCATTTAAAATAAAAAAAGAAATGGTAAAATCAAACAAAAATGCAAAAAATAGTGGTTCAATAACAGCACAAAAACAATCATGTGAATTTACGCAAGTGTGTGACAACAAAAAAAGCACACAGACAATCAAGTTTATTTAAATAGTAGCAAACATTACACAAGGGATTTAGAGAAAAGAACAAACAAAGTGAAAAACACAGCAGCATAAGTGTCTTTTTGGTTCAGGTGAGGTTTGAGTCGAGTGCATTGCAGTTCAGTGTGAGACAGTGGAACACAGGGATTTCTATCTTAAAATACTTCCATTTTAGTAGGACATTTTATGACACTGAAACATTTTAGAAGAACATTGTTGATGGATGTCCTAATCGGAAGTGTCTGAAACATTTATAATCTGTGGTTGAATGTAGAATTATCTAGAAATCACCGTTTCCATCAGCTCAACAGTAGGGGACAGGGAAATCATTTAAACAAAGATAATAAATAATATCATCTGAATTGCTCAAACTGAAGTGGTGGATGTGTATCAAGAGAAACATGTATAAATAGATGGTGACAAAGAGACACTTTTAATGATCCAGAATGGCACAAAAATGACATGGACACGTTTTGAGTACTTATAATCATTATGCTGTTACATTTAAATGGTACATTGTCCGCACCATGTCTTTGCTGAACCTAATCGCCCAGTTGATTGATTCTCATTGTTTTATCAACTGTGAAAGTGCGTGTCAATGTAAATGTATTATCAGGACTTGATTAATGTGATTTTAATTTTGAAAACATGTTTTCACTGTCGTCTACGGGCAGTATCAATTCAATCTAAAGCCCATTTGTAAGACTGTACACAGACTGATAAACCAGAGCTGGAACAGCCAGAGCCCCATGTCCCTAGCTTACAGTCCGTGTAATTCATGACAAACCCCGACACTGCCTGGTATCACAGGCCGCCACGGGTACCAATATTGTTATTATTTAATGTGTTAATATGTAATAACGTTGGAAACTTAGTAAAAGCTCTGTAACTGTATCGGCTGAGTGACAGTGACAGCCGGAAAACACAAATACCGGGATTTAGCTTTAGTGCTATCGCCGAGCGCTAGCTGCTAACGTTAAGCTAAGCTAAGCTAAGCTGCACGGCACGTGCGTGACTGCAGCTGTATACAAGGTTGGCGCCATTATTTGTGAGCGTTTAAACATACGGTTTTACAAGTCCATTTCTGTGAGTATGTCTAATTAAAAACCCTGATAACATTCAACAATAAAGTCAAATAAACGTTGGAATCTTAATTTTTAACTTACCACAGGTCCCTTCACGGTGGCTGCCATCTTTGCTTCTTCGACGACACAGAGAGACACAGAGCGCTGCTTTATCGGGACACGTTTCTATAGCGCCATCTAGCGAGGCAGAAAAATAGGATGAAACGGCAAAACACGTAGAAAATCCCAAATGTGTTTGTTTTATGCATCAAACGTTATTATTGTTGTGTTTTAAATACAAAAATGCTATTTGCATTTCCGAGGTTTACTTTAGCATGAAACATAACCAACAAACCTACAGTTGAACAATAAATACATGTTTGTTTCATTATTATTACCATTACTGACCATTAGGACATTTATGCTATGAAACTGCCTGTATTATGTTGGAGAGATGCCAACTTAAACTTGAATTTAAAATACAGCAAACATGTTGTTTTATCAACCGGAGCTGCTACTGCTGTGTAAATATTTCTACAGCAAACAGGACTGCACCCAAATCCAAATATTTACAGAATACATCTGCAAACCGGGAGCATTACTACTGTGCTCAAGACAAGGTGTAGAAGATAGACGTAAATAAATACACTTTTGAGTCGACTGTATTATACACAATGCACGTCCTGTATTACTCTGTACACAGCACGGTGTTTTGAAGCATCAGGTCATATAGAATAAATTATCATGTCATGTTGTTGTCTTAGAATGATTTTAAAGTCAATGGGCCTTTTTGTAAACTGCCACAATAATTACAATTAAAGGGTCTGTGATGCATTGTGAGGAGGTTGCTCGAGGTCCCTCAGCTGCAGACCTTGCATGGAGTGCACAACCCAGACATGGGGGAATCCAACTCCCACCTTAATATGCAAGCTATAGGCTGCACAATTGAGACTTTGTGTTCAAACATTCCAAGCCGTGCCATGTGAAATTCATTGAAACACAGCAGCATAAAACACAAATAGAAATCTTTTCTGGTTTGGTTGATTTGAATATGCAGGTTGAAATCTACATCGAGGCCTGGGGGAATGAGCAAAGCCTCGAAACCTGTTCTTCGCTCAGAATAGAAAACAAAGAAAGCTGATGAAGCCAATGAGAAGGAGAACTCATCAAAAATGACTTGGTGTCAGGGGTACTTTGATAACTGTGGATGGATGACCGACCTTCAAAGGGGTTTAAAGGCGACCGTGTGATGCCATTTGAAGATGGATGATTTCATCACAGAGGTCTTTGTCTGTCCTGATTAAACATCATAATTTTTGCAGATTCTTATAATTTCACCTCACAAAAGCAAAAACAAATCCAGTAGTACATGTGACTTTCTGCTGAAAAAACAAATACTAAATGGCGATGATTCGAATAAATAATTAATCTAGTGGATATGTAAGTGGTATTAGGAGTGGGTGGTCCAGCTACGTTTGACAACAAATGAAGATCAAACCAACATCGTACTGTAGGCGTGTATGATTACAGTCTACCTCCACATTAATCATGTCGCTGTGATTATTTCCTAAAAAGTTTGCTGTGATCTAATCAACCTATTTGAATAGAAGTCTGGAGCTGGATGGACGAGCCACTCATCAACGGAGGAAATCCAGCTGATGACTTGAAGCAGTCACACCCACTTTTAAGCACACATAAAACAGCCAGTTAACAGGAGGCTGCAGCACAGTGCAATAAGAACAACTCGGTAACACGAACACTAACTCTTTCTCCAGGAGGACACAACTCGGTCGACTTACAGAGAAGGTAAGACGTGAAGAATAACCAAGTTTTAGAAACAGGATTGTCGTCATTCTGCAATGCATATGTTTAATGTCATGTAATGTTGTTGAAGTGACTGTTTTTTTTTTTTTGTTTTTTTTTTGCAATATGTTTCAGTTTAATCAGGACTGAACACTTTTGGCCTGATCTGTAGAAAAAATGGGAAATGAGCTTTCAAACGACAAAGAGCCGACGCAGGTAAAGTGACACCAACAGCTCAACTAGCCTGTTATGCTGAAGTCTTAGTACCGTCACCACTGTCGCCTCTAAAGCGAAGTGATCATGAAGTGATCACATGATATTTTCATGTCATATTTTTCCCAAATGGCTACATTGTTGAGTGACTTCCTTGTAAACAGTTAAATGTAAAGTGCAGAACAGGAGTGGTTACATTATAATGTATATGTTTGTTTTGGATTTTTTTTTACATTTACAGAATGGAAAAGTTTGTGAGAAACATGAGAAAAATGGATCAGTGAATATCACATCTAATGGTCTGGAGATCAACGGTAAAGAAAATTATTTTCTTTTTTCTTTTAGTCATAAAAATACAAGACTTTGAAATTCTTGATAAGATTATTTATATTTAAATATTTATAAAATGAATGACCTTATTAAAAAATCTCACTGGTCGGAGAAGAAAAGGTTTGGCGTGTGCAACAGGAAAATCAATATATCCATTATCAATTTGTGTTTGATGAAACGATCCGTGCTGATTCATGCTGGATTAGTCCTTTGGACCTTTGAGATGCTCTGTAAACACAGAAACTCCCATTTGGATTTTGTCTTCACTTTTCTAATGTAGGCGTAGGCCGAGGCATTGACAGGGAGCAACTGTTTGGCCTGTCCTGGTGTTGTGTGTCTTGGTGTTCCTGTAGTGACAATAATACTCTCAGAATTGCCCTAGTGCCTGAGTTTGTCTAAGAGCTAATGTTGACGCCGGAGATAAAGGTGTTTCTCCCTCACGATCAGACTTGCCCATGTTTACTCCGCGGAGCACTGCTCATGTGCACATAATCGTTCTTAATGCTGCATGTAAAGAGTTTATTGAAGATTAACGAAGTTTAAACTGTGGACTGTGCGACTGGTGAGTCAGTCTCACAGAGGATGAGTCACCAGAGACTTTTTACTGATATCAATAATAAAAGGAACAAACAAGAACATTAGGTAAAATTAGAAAAACAAAATAATCCTACTGAATACTTCATGTCCAAACATTTTCAAAACAATTAATTCCTTTTGAACTGGAAAACATGGTTGGTTAAAACTCGATTGATTATTGTTTAGTGTTCCAATTCAATTCAAGTCCAGACCCAGTCTATGGCCATATATTGTGGTTCTATTGTGTAGCTGTTATCATGTCTGGCTTACACATTGAAGGTCCTGAGTTCGAGCCCCTGAGGAACAACATACTAAATGGCGCCTCCAAGGGGCAGTCTGTTGCAACAGATTTGCTGTTTATATAAGAATGTCCCCAATGTAGGATCAATAAAGTTCTCATTATTATCATATATTTGCTACATTTTTATTGAAATACATTGAAGATCGCACTGTTCTGTGTTTATCTTCTAGGTATTTTCCTAAATAAATCCCTGCTGATCACTTCAATGTTGGCCTTAACATTATTGTATTATTGATCATTCACAAATATCTTATTTTTCAGTCAACGGTGAGGCCAAAGTCCACCCAAATGAGGAGACCCTCCCACCCAGCCCCCCCACAGAGGCACCTGACGGTCCAGTTGTTGAGGCAGAAGTTAAATCTGATGAAAACGAACCCGTAGCCAAGAAGGAAGAGGTGAAGAAGAGTAAACCAGAGAAAGTCTCCCTCTTCAAAATGTTCAAAAAGAAATCGCAACCTCCGGCCGTCGAGGACACACAACAAAAAGAGGCGTCACAGGAGGATCAAACGGATGTAGGTGCTCCCTCCACTGAGCCACAGATGGTGAGTAGACTTCACGTGTTTAGTGTCGTAAAGGTGAAAGTTTTAATTCCTTCACATGACTCATAAAAATGCAAACAACTCTGAGTTGTTCAAAGCCGTTCCAAACACAGGGAAGAAAAGGATGTTAACTGATGTTTCCATCAACACGAAGAAAGAAAATTATTTTATAGAGGGGGAGAATATTAATATCCAAATGTGGTTTCTGGTCACTCAGGGCAAAAGACAGCGTGATTAACATGGTTGTTGTTTCTGTTCCGGCCACAAAAACTCATTCTTTCTCATCTAAATGTGAATGTTGATTTTCATAATTAAGGAGTTGAAACCAAGTGGAGGAGAAGTCGTCTTTAAGGCTGTCACTCATCACCTAGAAGAAGTCCAACGTCCTTGTCAACAGACAAAACACAGCAGAGAAATCCATATATACACACAGACTGTGGATGAGGATGGTGCAACATCGATGGACGGTTCACTGGATATGACTGTTGTGACAATCGCTGAGGAGGCTGTTGAAGAGGCTGTGTACATGGAACAGTGTGAGGAACAGACGACGGGGAACACGCTTATCACACAGGAGTGGATAGAGGTCGCTGTGGAAGCTGAACCAGACTCAAACCCAAACGGTTCCTTCTCAGATGCAGGTTCAGAAGACACTGTGCCACTGGTGCTGCCCTCAAGCCTTCCTAAAGTAGTAGCAGATTGTGTGGAGCTGGTTTTTGCTGCAATTCCTGAATCCTCCAAGAGCACATCAGTAGCAGGGGAAGATGGAGCCACCGCCAAAGACATCCATGAAGAACCTGAAGACATGTCGGCTGATGCAGTGCTGATTGAATCCACTCAACCTGAACCAGATGTCGTCTCTCCTGAGGCCGTAGAAGAAAACAGCGTGAGATCCTCCTGAGGCCGTAGAAGAAAACAGCGTTCCGTCTCCAGATGAAGAGTTAATGAAGATGATAAATCAAACACCTGTAAACCAAGACTTACTTGCAGAGGAGCTAATTTTTACAGATACGTCAATTAGGAGAGAATCTGCAGATGAGGAGGTCATTGGACATGATGATGATGATGATGATGTTTATGATGATGAAGTTTATGATGATGAAGTTTATGACCCTTTTGAGAGGAGCAGTAGCTGCTCAGAAGAAGACATTACAGAGGAATATGTGACAGAGGAAGTTCCCAATGACCCTACGACCACTGTGGAACCCTGTCAACGTTCTCCTGTTCACGAGGCCATCCCTGAATCTGCAGCTGAAGTGTCTACTTCAGATGAGGACATTGTGGAAGTAGAGACATCAGATGTGGAACCAGATCAAGATGAGGAACTGCACACAAGCCCTGCTGCGGTGAACAAAGATGTGATCATGAATGCGCTGATCAACGCCTTGTGCCAAGAACTAGAATCAAATGATTCAACTTCTCTGGAGCCTTCAGCAGAAAATGACAGCCTTTTGGAAGAGGACCTTTGCCTGTCAACAGTTTTTGTCCCTCTCTGTGGACAACCAGAAGTAACAGATACCAACAAAGACCCTGACGAGATGACTGAAGAAAGTATAGAGATTTTATCAAACGAGTTGAAGGCTGAAAATCCAGAAGAAATAGAAGTTACAATTTCTGAAGAAGAACACCAGACAATCACGACAGGAATTTCGGAGAATTGTGAAGTCACAGTCGATGAAGATGAGGATGTGCCAGGAGCGTCTAAGCTTTGTGATGCAGCTGAACAGGGGGAGAGAATTTCAACAGGTGAAGCATCAGTGGAAGATCCTGATAAAGTAGTGTCTGAAGGTGTGGAGATCACAGGGAACGCTGAATCAACTGAAAACCACAACTCAGATTCAGAAGAGCCTGCAGAGGAGGAGGAGCGACAGCCGAAATCTGAACTTCTTGTGCTCGTCGATGACAGAACTGAAGACAGTTTGTGCGAAACAGACAATTCTGATTCTGATTCTTCAACTTCACACACGATTGATGAAGAATCTAAGGCAACTGAACCAATTCTAGAAGACGTCAATGAACGAGAAGCTGAAGGTGGACTTGTGACCTCCGAGGAAGTTGAACCAAAAGTGACAGCAGAAGAAGAGACTGTCGAGAGTGAAACAAAAGCCAACGCTCCAGAGTCACCGGCGGGCTCTTACAGTATTTATACATGTACCTCCATGACCAGCAGACACGTAGAAGCCCTGTGTGGCAGGCTGCAGGCAGCTTGCACATCAGTGGTTGAAGACTCAGTTTTAAGGCCGGTTGTCAAAGAAATGCTTTCACTGGGATACAGTATCACCGTGACCGTAAATGTTGCTCCGAAGACAGGACAGTGATAAAATTACAACCAACACTGACACATTGTTGGTTCTGCTTAGTAAAATATTGGTCTACCTCATTAGGGCGTCGTGTGTCCTGCGGTTTGTGGTCGCAACTCCAATGTACAACTTGCTGCCTCTAAAATAACTTCCACTAATTGCCTCGTAATGATGATAAAGTGTGTGTGTAAGTGTAGGTGTGTGTAAGCACAGCTACATGTGTGTTAGCATGAAAATGGTGGACATTTTTTCAAATAAATTTTTTTACCGATTTTGGCCTTCCAATTTTTTAAATAAATATGAATGAAATCAACAGTAAACAGAACAGAAGAAGACTTTAATAAAAAAGCTATATTGAAGGGGTGGGCAGACCAAGAACAAAAGTGATGTGTTTTTACTGACAAACTTTTCTGTTTGTAAAACACAAATTATTTTAGAAATACTGCCTAAAACTTAATTTTGCACACAAAAAAGTTCAGACCACCAGAGGTCGAACTAATACTGATGATGACCATTCCTGTGTTAACGTACTGTATATACAGACATACAGTAGTTGGTCCACATCCATGAATAATCCATGGGCTGCACTTGATCATGATCAGGAAACAGTGACGTTTTTACAGTGTTTACTCAGCACACCATAGGGGTCAACACTGATTTGGCAGAATTTTTACACACAACTCATTTGGGGATGAGCTGGTATCAAACCCAGAACCTTTTAGTTATAAGTGGGAGTCCTATCACCGCCCCCACTCACTGCCCCCATTGTTCTGCCTGCAGTCCAGTTCGATCTCCTACTGGAAATGTATGGTGCATCATGAAGAGAGCGTTTGGACAATGGTGCCCACAGTTCATTTAACTACAAAGGTTTCCTTTTGAAACTACAACTATTAGAATTTTAATTAAAAGAATAGAATGTGGCCCAATGAAGTGGCCTCTGTCAATCTTCAACCTACATTTTTTATAAACACTTATGGTCCCAGTGAAAACACCAAAATGATTCTCTTTGTTTTTCTGCAAGTACAGCTCCATTAACACATCACACATTTTTATCTACTATAATATCAGAAGCGCTCTGACATTTTCAGAAATAGTGTGAAGAATTCAAACCTGAAAAAAAAAACCACAAACCTATCTCTTGGACACATAATCATGATAACGTTAGGTATTTGTGCTTTCTGACATTTCTTAGGACATAACTGTCCAACATTGTTGAATATCAATGAGTGAGGGGTGGGACACACACACATTAATAAAAGGCTGATTGTTGACAAAGCCCTGAGTAGGCAGAGGCATGGTTGGAATTGTGCTCCCATCTCAATGCTGTGATTAAGACTCACTGCTGCTGCTGCTTGCATATCAGCTCGGCTGCACTAACATAATTCTCAAAGGCTGTTTCCCTGTGATGGTGTATAGGAGACAGATAACCCACAGCAAGAGCCAGAAACAATAAAGGAGCCAGAAAGTGTGACAGGAGGACCAGGTCCAGAGGAAGAGAACGGGGAAAGTCAACCTGAGGAAAATCAAGAGGAAGGTGACCCTGAAAATAATCCAGTTATGAACTTCTTCAAAACACTAGTAAGTGACACCATTTCAGACATTCTGGTCCGCTGTGCTCGTGCCTGTTATTAATTAGTCATCTGCTAGAACCAGGCAGTATGGGGGGGGAATAAACTGCTGAAATGCTTTAATCAAAGTGAAGAAGGAAGAAATCCAACCTTGTTATCTCTGAAGACAAACAGCTGCTGGAGCAGCAAAAATTAAATTAATGTTTGCTCTAATTATTGTTTAAAGGTTTAAAAGCCACCAAAGACGAGACGTTTGTTAATTAGCCTGAAGTGGAGAATAAATTAAACACTGAAGACGTGCTAAACGTCTCAAATGTTTATTTGTCAGTTTGTGATTCCCCTTGTTCCATATCAAGCTGAAGGGAATCCATATCTGACTCTGCTGCTTTATGGAAAAACCCACGACAAGTGGCTATTGTGAGGGCCTTCATCACGCCGTCTTATGGATTCATGTGGTTTTTAAAGAGTTACCACGGCCCTAGCACCATGCTAATCAAGTCTTTGAACATGCGGGAATGAGGCCTATTGTTCAGCTGATAGTGTGAGCTCACAAGGGAGGCCTGTGAGGCTGGAAGTAGAGACTTGTGAAGATAGAGCAAGGGCAGGCCTACGCCATCCCCAGAGTACAATGGCAGTCACGATGACAGTGCACGTACTGTATGTGCCCTGTCAGGGACCTCAGAGTGCACTCTCTGTGCTGCAGTTCACCCATAAAGGCTGCTGTGGAATAATTATTTCTCTTTAAGCGTATTCTGTTGTGCATATTTTACTCACATAAAGACGAGCCGTTTGCCCACATCTGTGTCAGCGAGCTCACACGTCCTCGTCTGATTTTGCAGGTGACTCCCACTAAGCCGTCCAAAAAGGTAACAGCAGCTCCAGGTTCTTCAAAGGAACAGGTGAAGTATTACCTCACGCTGATTGGACTTGTTTTCATGGTTCGTTTTAACAGGGCTGTGGAACAGAGTTCAGTTCTGTTAGAGGATGTTGGTCAAATTGTGGTAATTTCCTGTTTGGGAAATAGAGTTAAATGTCAACTGATCTAATGATGCTTGGTTGTTTGTACTACTAAGTCATAGTAAAGATTTATAGGCTTTGTGTTGATTTTTATTTTGCTTCTTTTCAATTTTCTGTTTCTAATGTATTTCTTTTTTTGTTGCCAAATAGTCGCAGGAGACCCAACCAGCGGGAGTCACTACTGTGAGCATTAACCTCAGTGTTTGTAACATTAAAATGAATTGCTAGGAAATATAGTTTATGTTTAATAACTATTTTGAGATTACAATGCTAATTTTATCTTTTATAAACAGACGGTATTTTAAATTGGAGGGGACCTTTATGAGCTCGTTTAATTTGGATGTGGTCCATAAGTTAGCTGCTACAACCATTCACAGTCAGCACTGTTGCTCTGTAAACAATCCTGATTTTAGACTGCACAAGTGTCCGAAGCACCCGCCGCTCCCAAAGCGATGTCCATCCCACCACCACCTCCGCCCGAGCCACCAAAGATGGAAATCAAAGGAGAACCCGCTGCCAAACTGGTCAAACCTTCGCCAAAAGAAGAGAAAAAAGCTGCTGCCAAGAAACCCGAGGCCTCAAAAGGAAAATCAGCCAAAGATACTCTGGGCAAATTCTTCCGTTCAAAGGTAAACAAACATTTGTCATTGAAGATCACAAGATAAGAGGCTGTTGATTCAGAGCAGGCTGTGCGTGAGTACAGTACACTCAGACTGTAACCATGTGACATGAGTTTGGCTCTAATTTAAGCGCTGCTGTTGCTGGTTGGTGGCAGAACCAGAAGAAAAATACAGCAATAGTTGATAGTTGTATTCATCCCAGTATATACAGTGTATAAATAGGCCACACGGGGGCCATGTAGCCCAAGTGGTGTATTTTTAAAAAACATTTTGTGATTGTTGGAGATCATCTTTGATTGTGCCCCTCCATGCAAAGGAAATTTCGTCTAACAAACTGCATTTTGCAAATTTTTAATGTTAGTTTTTAGCATTGGCACAATTAATGTATTCCAACTGCTCCAACTGCTTTTGGGATTGTATTATATTTATATTTTTCATTACTCTAATATTTGAGAAGTTTTGGATTAACATCAGGTACAAAAATAGCCAGGCTAATAGTTTGATGCTGTTAGCTGTTAGCCACAGTAGAGCTCTCATATGCAACTCTTGTTTATGAAAGCAAACTATTATTATTCTGCTATGTCATAAGTCATTATTTATATTCTAGACTGATTCATTTTATTTTTGGTATTTTGTACCACAAACTTCTTCATTGGCCTACAAATGTAAAGCAAACTATAGCATGTGTGTGTGTCACATGATTCGATTTATAGTACCTATTTAAACACCTGTGCTATACAGCAGCCGCCTGTTGAACTTAAGGATTTGAATATATTTCCGTCTGTCTGGCTCAGATTAATCAGGCAGTTTTACTCTGCAGGAGAAGCCTGTGGAGGTACAGCAGCCAGTTATAGACATCAAGGTAAATGAAAGCAGAGCATTTTGGAGTGGCATGATCTTCTGCTCCTCTCCGTACACTGCATCACCGTGTTCTCTCCCTTCTTTGTTACAAATGAGGTCGAACCTCAGGAGACAGCAGAGGAGGCGGCAGAGGCAGTAGTAGAGGAGCAGGTAAAATGGTTGAGGGAATGTTCTGGAATATGATCATTTCATTTCATGACATGACGCCCCGCATGTGACGTCTGCTATGTTTACAAATGAAATTCCACTGCAGATAAACAGGACATTTGTGAAATTACTGAAGTTCACATTTAGTATTTGATTTAACGAGAAAACAAACTTTTCTTTCTCATAGACAGTAGATGGAGAACCACAGCCACCTGAGGTGAATGTGAAAGATTGTATTAAATCTCCTGGTATTATGGGCTTTTGTATTTACTTGCCATTCTTAAGGCTTTCTTTAAAGTGGGAGTCCAAAAGGGAAACATTCAAATGCAAAACTTCCTACTTCCTGTTGTTTACAGCCACTCAGCTCTGTCTACAACGTTTCACTTTCTTTTTTACCTTTTGCATGATGTTTTGGGGTTCTTCATGATCACAGGAACTGGACCTGATGGTTTATGGATTGTTTGTCTCATTTCCTCCTCTAATTGAATGATTTCCTTTGTAGGTGTCAGATCCTGCTCTCGACTCAATGTGTCACGCTCAATGTGGGCCACACCTTTGACTTGGTATTTGCTCATGATCTACATTTTGTCTTTCTGTCGCTTTCATAAAAGAAGGTGGATCCTTCCAAAGCTGGTACCTTGGAAGCTGCTGCGAAGCCAGAACCACCGCCTCCTGTTCAGGAAGAAAAGAAAACAGCCACAAAATCATCCTTCTTCTCTGTCTTCAAGCAAAAAGTAAAAACCCATAGGGTTTATTTTTCAAAAGTGTTTGAAAACGACTAAAACATTACTAAAAAGAACTTCATGGCCTTAAAAAATCATTTTAGTTTTAAGCCTTATTTTTTTGAGTCTTAAAACTGACCATAACAGATTAAACATTAGATCCTAACAACAAACAAACACAGTGACACCACCTCAAATGTCACTCTGCCCATATTTACCCTTAAAGACTAACTTGTCCGTAAGCTCTAGTTCCCTTAATTTGTTTATACTTTGTTCTTCAAGGCTGCAGAACCAAAAAAGGTGGGTGCTGCCCCGCCTGCTGCACCAGAGGCAGCTCAGACGGCTAAAACCAAAGAAGAACCAAAAGCAGTGGCCAAGTCATCAGACGCGGTTGTAGATAATAAACAGGCTTCAGCTGCCTCCGAGGCAGCCGAGGATCTGGCCAAGATTCCCAAAAAATTGGAGAAAAGGAACTCCATCCAGCTTTTCTTTAAAGCTCTGGTAAGGAAGGATGGATGGATAGATATATAGATCAACAGACAGAGGCAACTACAGTAGTAAAGGCACGTTTCCCAAATGTCAAACGATGTGTTTATTAAGAATTAAACATATAAAACAGAAAATTGTATCTTCCATTGTAACGTCAACAAAACAACTATTTTTTGCCACATATTTAAACCTTAGCTGACTGAGGCGTAATGTCACTTTATCATTCCCCACAAGAGGGCAGCAATCACTCAATGTGTGATGAAAGGCGTGGGCTCCATTACACAGTGTTTGTCATGTCACACACTTCCTGAGAATGTTTTTTTTTCATACCTTTCACTTGAATATATTTCCACAATGCCTTAAGGATGATACATAATTTATGACCAACTGTCAAAAATTATGATCATCCCTGGTACGAATAAGAAAATGGTGGTAACACAGTAAGTCGGCTGTAATGAAAATAATACTTAAAATATTTTCTTTTCTTCAATTTCAGGGTCAAAAACGTCATTCTACAGATGCCGGAGTCCAGACAGAGCAAACCACCGTCGCTCAAGCAGCAGAGAAGACCAAATGAAACAACACTCACAAATTCCCCTGCACAAACAGTTCCTTTTTCTCACCCGTCTTCTTTCTCTGTCTCTCGTCACCCATTCAGTCCCTTACATTACTTTAACTTCATTTCTTTTTTTTCTTATGGTATTGTGAAGAGGTGAAAAAACGAATGTTGGATTAAAGCAAGTGAGCGGTTGTGAGAGCAGGTGGCTGAACAATTTTAAAATGGCCACAGAGGTTGTTCAGATACATGTAAATATAAATTTTTATTTTGGTCATATAGATGTCTTAGTATCGCCACGTGAGTTTGAAAACTTTTCTATGGACATTCAATGTGATCTTTCTTTCTAACCTCGCAGCCAAACAGACTGGGCTTGTGCAGTGCGTATACAGCATCCATGCTTTGGTATTAATACTGTCTTTAACATTTGAGAAGAAATCACACTTTCATATCGGACTTGTGACCGTAAATTAAATTACCGTATTAAATAACTGAACACATAATGGACTGTTGTAAAATAGCTGCTCTTAACAAATCTGATAAGAACAGCAGCTTTATTTACCGAACCAGAAATGCAGATCTATTTAATTGTTGCATTAGTGTTTCTTAAATGGAGGACAGTGGCACCAGATTTGGTCCCAGGGCAACACAACTTGAAAAAACATTCAGCACATTTTTCACTCAGATACGAATGTAAAGCATTTTTACAAATAGACATAAAAGTGTGAAACTGCAAGTAAATGTCATGTAGCATAAAGTTTTTTTTTTGCGACCAAAGACCTAGAACCACTTCTCTACATAATCCAGTGGTGTGACACATTTACATTTATCAGTTCCACACTGCACTTGACTTTATTTAACACCATATTTAAAAAAAAAAAAAAGCTGATTTGTTTTGTGTTAAGTCCACTTTGGCACAAAGTTTAAAAATATTTAAACTGAATATTATTTGACTTTCTGCCTCCCTGATTGGACCCACTAGGGGTGAACATCCCCCACTTCGGTAACCACTGATATAATCCATATACATACTGTGGTAATTAGAAAATACTATGGCATCTTATTGGTCACAAATTTAAGATATATGAAAATCATTTTTCAGTTTCTGTTTTGTGTGCACATGCTAACAAATGCAACTGAGAAGTCCGTGTGGAAACGTTGTCCCATGTAACTCACAGCCAACATGATTTTCATGTTTATCACAGCATTTTGTGTGAGTTGTCGTCAGTCCTTCGTGTTCGGCTCTTCTGCATTCATGTTTCTGTATGCCTATATGTGCGAGTGTAAACGTAACTTCTGTTATCCTGAAGACAATAAATATGTTCCTTCCTCATCACCCACTGTGTGGTGAAGCTCAGTGAAACTTGGTAACAGCCATAAAGGTATGCAGCCTGGCAGGTCTGGTAAGGCCCAAATAAAACATTCTTTAAGAAGACAACATCCAAAATGTTTCCAGGCACTAGACTTAACAGCTGAGGAAGTGTTCACACGAGTCTCACAGACCTCTACATTGGGTGTTGTCATTCAAAAGGAAATACTTGTAGCTTTACTCATTCACTGTATGTAATTATTTGAATTCTCTGACAGACAAGTGACACAGTTAAATGGAAAAACAGAAGTGACTTCCGCGCTGGAGATTAGATTAGATTGGATTAGATTTGACTTTAATGATCCCACAGAGGAGGGAATTCAATTGTTAAAATACCAAAAAGCTCAATACTGGAAAAACACTATTATATATATATATATATACACACACATGTTGCCACAGACTGTGATTTGGAGCAAAACTTAAAAAGGGTGGGGCTGAGAGCACAAGTTTGTCACAGATACATATGGGTGTATAAAGGAAGTCAAAGAAGTATGTGACTATGTTTCTGTGCCAAACAGAGAGGAATATGGGACAAGACTAAACTGTAGTGTTGAAGATAATAATGGAGATGCAAAACACAATTATAAACGCGAGTGCATTGAGGTACAATAAGGGCTTCTCTGTCTACTCATCTGGTCATTTGCATGATTGATAGCACAGTGTGCTGCATGTGTGTTGATAGCGGTGACGGAGATTCAGCATTAAGCAATGAGTCGCGGCCCCTGGGGGCATAACTGACACTGCTCCTTTGTTATCAGGGAGACACACTCTTCTCAAACTTTGCCCCTCTTCAACAAGTGTGATCAAAGAAATGGCAGCAGCGAAGGAAGGTGGAAAACCAGGACTTTGCCTATGCAGTGAAAGCATGCGGTTCTTTGTCAGTCCTGTCCCTTGGGAATTGTTTTAAATAAGATGCAGGAGGACATCGTCCCCTCACGTGTTTCCTACGAAGGGTTTAAAACTCATGTCTGCTTGTAAACATGAGACTCGATGCTGATCAAAATACAAGAAAAATGTAAAAGAAAATATAACCAGATAATCCAGAGCAACTAAATAAAAAAAACGACCTGTATTAAATTGCTTCTAGCAACAGATGCAGTGACTGCATGCACTGCAAGACCTGCTTGACGACCATGTTACTGCAGTTCATCCCAGGACAATGAATGTAACTGTGTGAACGCCCAGGACCCGGGAGGGGGTGGAACGAAGGAAAAGTGGGCAGGGAGGCCCAACAGGAGGCCTGCTGTCAAGAATAATGTGCATCAGGCAACGCTGCTTGGTAGGAACAGCCTTGATCTGCCCAATTCCACACAAAAACTAACTTATAGCACTGATGAAGATGCCGTAATGGACTTTTTTTTCTTCACTGTTTTACAAGACAGGACCTTCAGAGCAGAATGCGCATATCTAAATATTAAATAAGCCTTTTGATGCAAATGGTATTCAATGATATTCAGGAATGTTGTAACAGATGTTAACAAATGGCTTTCAGAGAACAGTAAATAAAAAGAAAAGTGTCACATACTGAGAGACTGAGGCCTCTCAAAATGTACTCATTAACTGTGATAATTAATGAATGAAATCAATCAGAATACATTTTATAGCACAGTTTAACAAATACCCAGAATGACACACACACTGTATTTAATAATTCAACCGTCCGTTCACTTATTGTTACACTGATACACAGTCAATACAAATGTTGTCAGTTACACACACTATGGTGTAATGTTTTCCTTTGACTAAAACACCTCAAGCCTGAAATACCATGTCAAAGCCAAGAATGTGTTTGGAGATGCTTCAATACTCAGGTTTGTGTCAAACCAGACTCACTGAGGGCACAGCATTAGGTAAGTCTGTGACTGACAAGCTGATTGACTCATTTGCCAAATGAATTACCAAAGTTTTCAAAGTTGCAACTCATAACACGTTTTACAAGCCAGTACCAGGATGCACAGTGATGACTAAAATCCACCAACTCTTTGGGGAAACAAAGTCATACGTTTGCATATCGTTCTTGACATTTTTCTATATTAATAATCCAACCAACTGGTCACAAATAGGTGTGAAACTCATATGTTTAACTGATGTCATTTTGCAGTAGTTGCCAAAAAACTAATTTGTCACATTTTTTGGATAAGACATAAAAATAAATGGTCCTTGTTTTGGTCCTAAAACTGAGTGCTTAATAAAACTGGGTCATGACCAAAAACCTCTGTTATGTCTGGGCCTGATCAGTTGAGAATCACTGTCTCACTTCAGATACTTTGTATACTAAAAAAAAGGTCAGACACACTTGTGTTGACAAAGAACAGTGTGTAGATGTCAATACTACACATAACATCTGAGATGATATGGATTATCTGACACCAAATGAACATTAACATTCTTAACTAGCAGGGGTCTTAGTGTTCTTCAGGCCACAGTTCTACACACCAGTGGAGAGATGGAGCAGATATCTCCTTCTGTTTTCTGCAGCATATTGTTTAACATTGTGTTTCTATTTAAACTGGGCTCATATATAAAACTATCACGTTGTTATTGCCTCCAATACCCAATCCAATGCCTATAATACAGAATAAAATATTCACATTCCCACATAAAACTTTTGCAAGGTGCACTCGGAAGGGTGCCCAGTAAAAGAAAACTACAGTACAGGACCTTTCTACAGTACCTCTCTGGACCCCTAGGGGTCACAAACCCCTGGTCGTAGGTCTCTGTTAAAGAGCATATGTTCTCTATGTTCTTGTATATTTAGTTTCTGATCACATGCAGCCAGCACAGGGGTAACATGAGGTTTATTGTCTTGGCCTAGAATGCAGTGACACATACTGTAGGTGAACCTACAATTGAACTGAATTATGTAAATCTATCACATTTGCTTACTTGAGTTGATACCGTGAGTGTATTTTTTCAATACATTTTTTGTAGTTTCTAGTTACAAACATTGTCACCCATTCACTCCATATATTTAAGTACTTTTATGCCATTTAGTCAATTACTGAAGAGGCAAAAATGGGAAAGAAATTGTTCCTGAAAAAACCTTAGAGTCCACAGAGAGACACTGGGAGACTGAAACGCTTTCATTTTTCTTCAATCCAATTTAAAAATAAACACACATTTATCTGATGATCAGCACAACAGCTGGTCGCACTGAATCAACATTTATTAGTAATGGGTGAGAAAGGAGATTATCTTTCAGAGCAGCACCAACGATTGTGAAAGAAGCCGGGTTGTGAATCTGGAGGAGAACAATGCAGTCAGCTGCTCCTGACACGTCAAGACAAAAACAGGCCAACACTGCCTTTCCCCATCCGTTGATCCAGTTCCTACCCCACTCTCTTTCTGCTGAATACATAATCATTCAGTCAAGTATTTGGTTTCTTTGCATCATTAATTAGCATATGCTGCTGAATGCCTGCATATATGCTGTGGCTTGCGGAGAAACAAAAACACAGACAACGGAACTGCGTGTAGTCAAACAGGACGACAAAGTAATCAAAGTCCGTCAGAAGTAGATAATGTGTGTCTGTTTATCGCTGCCATTACACCTAAGGATGACGAAAGACAGTGAAATAAATGCAAAAGCATTTATGATGAATCACAAATGCATGTGTAAGCATAAATTATCGGGACCTCTGCTTTAAGGAATGTTCCCGATCAACACATCATCTCTAGGCGATGTCATCATCTAGAGGCATCATAGAGCTGGTGCTCCAGATTGATAGCCTTTTCACAAAGCCTTTGTGGTCACAGAACAATAGGAAATGAGCGGGAGGCCTCCATGTGTCACACATGGTGCCTTTGATTAACATACTAGACTTGTTTGTGTAACAGGATCTCAGGGTAAGGCATGGATACCAAAATATGAATCAGAGTGTAGCAGAGGATTTTAAAGGGGAAAAAAAGGTTTTACTAAACACATGTTAGACAATGAAGTCATGAATGATAAACAATTGATTTGGTTCAATAAAAAGGCCACATGACCTATAAATAACGTGACTCACTTTGATTCAAAATGAAATTTCTTATGAATAAAATATAACACTAATAGTTAAAGCTGTTACAAAAGTTTGCACAATACTTCTTCTGTTGTGCACTGAATATGTCAAAGTCTGGGTCAAAATTGATTAATTTAATTATGCTTTTTTTTCACCACTCCCTTTTTTTAAGTTTTACAAAACTTTAATTCCTTGATTACATAATCTTACAAAGTACTTGGCACAGCAGAAGAAAATCACAAAAATATTACTGGTGAGGCCACTTGCCAAACCTGCAGATCTACTTATCTATTCATCAAATGGTAAGCAGCAAATTTGTCATACTTATTTGGAAACAAAAAAGAATACTAACATGGAAGCGGAAAATACCAAGAACAAAAAGAAATAACCACAAACATGCTTTAAGAGGTGGTACAACTGAGTGTATCAAGCCATAGCCTGTCCTACTGTGTAAGAGAGATGGTGTTGGCAAATGGAGTCTTCCAGTCTTTGTTCAGTGTTTCTTAGCTGGGAGTGGTTACTGATAAAGTTTTTTCTTTCTCTCTCTTTTAGACATTGCTGCCATTCAGAGGGAGGTTATGTGAGTGTATGCATGTGCATGTGTTTGTGTGTTTGTGTGTGTGTGTGTGTGTGTCTCAATAATTTAAGCACACTGAATAACCACATTGATTGTGTTTTGTATAGCTTTAAGCTACATCACTGACTAATGTCTCTGGTGCGGCTCAGAGGTGGAGGATGGGCAGATGTTTACTCACACATTAGTCAGTGAGTGCTACTGTAGGTGAAGGTTTTTTTATCTCACACAATCAGTGTCACTTTGTATTATTTACTTGTTTTCTTTCCCTTTACATTAGCTAAAAGTCATGATACAGAAACATCCTCATATATAATTTTCAAATTTGCTATGTACTGTAAATATATATGTTTTTTCAGGTTGTTATACATTAGGTCAATCCAAACAGTTCTAAAACAGTTGTTACAGTTTTCAAAAAGTGTTAGGTTTTAATAACTAAATCGTGTTAAAGTGTCTCTCTTGAGTCAAGCTGTATTTGCATAATTCCATCAGGTTTTACAAACCTTCAAAATGAAGCAAAGATGAAGTTTTAATACAACCTAATAGAAAATGGGAACCTGTATAAAATAATTGTAGTGAAATTTAGACCTAATCTAGTGGTTCTATATACATATATATATATATTTATATTCTAAATACCAACAAAACATTTAAAAGGACATACATTTCATTCCTCTGCTGAGGCAAATGAGCAGGTTGTGACCTGGTATGAAAGGAAAGGAATTCTCTGATGGAAACCACCACTCATGTTGACACTGAAATAGAGAATATATAGTGGAACAGCTTTACAATTATTTCCCTAAATGGACATTTCATTAAACGTTTCACAGGAAATGGGGATAACCTGAAATTTCTTATGAGTCATTTACCCAAGCCTATCAACCAACTGGCTTCTGCAGAAACCCTCATGTATCTGTGAAAAGTTTGAGGTACCCCTCCCCCACCTCCACATGGTAGCTGATGCATGACAGAACGTGGAAGAACACAGGGGAGGAAAAGAAGAAGAAGAAACAACCAGAAGTAGAGAAGGAGAAAAGGGGGGTGTAGGGGGTTGACACTTTTGGGTAGGTGTATAGTCTGGGTGCAGTATAAAAACACATCAAACGCTGGGTTACTGTTGTGTCGCCCGAGGCTTTGAACACCACAGTAAAGTCACTGTGTGTGTGTGAAGCTTTACATATATGAAGGAAGCGTCTGGAGCATTAGTAACACAGGCTCGCCCAAGGTCAGTGAAGTAAACATACGACTGTATCAGTGCATTCAAATGGATGTGGGAAAATGTCAGGAGTGAGGCATGATACGTGACGTGTATAACATGAACTTTGTTAAAGCATTGTTTTTTAGCCTATATATATATATGAGACATACCAATAAATAAGATGGTATTTCATTCAAACGTGTAAAAAAAGTGAGGGATTATTCATCCATTTAAGTTCACGAGAAAAGCTATTAAAATCATCACGACTTTTTTACGACACATACTTACTGTCAAACGATTCTATTTTTTAACCAGGTCTACTGAAAACTCCGCCCCACCTGTGTTAAACAATATGAAGTATGGAGTGATTTATAGGTGTCAAAGAAAAGCAACGTGTTTTCCTCTTACCGCGATAGTTTCGATCATGCAAAAGCGAGTATGTGAAAAGTTGAGCAAACATTAAACTGGATCACTTAATCTGTAGTCGATATTCCTGATCACGTGACAGCCCTATGGGTTTTCGAGGGTTCGTGTACGCGCTAATATCTTCCCCTGCAATAGACTGAGGAGGAGGAGGCGAGAGCGCGCACGGGGATTCAACAGCTGCACGGTGAGGAGTCGCGGAGGCGAACAAATATGATTCAAACAATTGAATAGGTGAGAGCTGTCTGTCCCACCAGCAACTACTCCAACGCCTGTATGAATCGAAGAGGCAGCTCAAATACACGCTGCCTGACCGAGCACTTTATCGTAGCAAAGTATAAATCCGGAAATTCATACTTTTGGTAGGTATTGTTTGGTGAGTTTCTACACTTTTGCTCGAAGTCGAAATAAGAGAGGAAAGTGTGCGTCGGTTTAAGAGTCGTTAGTGGCGAAAGTTCATCTCTGAGCGCGTCCGTTGAAGTAAATACACTTTTCTTTATTATTATTTCACTATTAAAGTGGAGTCAAACAAATCGCCGAGGCGATGTGTGAAATAAACACGGTGTAGTTTCTTTTCTGCCCTTCTTTCCGATGCCGATGTGCAACAATTTGTGTTGTCATGTATGTAACCTAACGTTTTCACGGCGATGGGTGCGTGTAGGTGCAGCTAGCTTATTAATGTCGGATTTAAAGCGTTGATTGGTGTTGATTGATGTTGACTACCATCGTTCTCCTAAGTAACGCCGTCTGATCGTGTGCCTCTCTGCTTATTAAGCGCACGTAGAAATGTAATAGCTACCGGGTGCAGCCTGCCTCAATCAAATATAACCAAAACACACAGGGATGTTTTTTAACGTCTTCTCCCTGTTCCTAGTACATGGTTGAATAACGAGGTTGCTAACGTTAGTGAACGCTGCATGCACACAAAGCACATACATTGCAATGTGCTGTGTGTGTGTGTAGGAGGGGGGATCGGGGGGCTTCCATTACAAACACAGAGCTTGTGGCCACCTGAATTATGTCATTAGTAAACATAGCAATGATAGGTGTAATTGCCGCCTCATAAACAGTAATAGTCAGAAGTTAAGAGGTGCGTTGGGTTGTTGTTGTTCGAGAGTCAGATAACACTGCCATATGGAGGAAGTCACCGTTGGAAATTCAACCTTATCAACTCTATTGACCTGTGTGTAGTGTTATGTCAAATGGAGTCTCAGAGTTATGTGATTGTAAACCTGCTGCTCCAGTTTCTTCAGCGG